TGTGAAAACTGGATCACGATATGCAAAGGTTAGCTTTTGTACCAATAGGCCCGTGATTCAGGTTAAAACAGAATATTGCACACTAGCATTTGCAGACTAAGTAGTCTGTGGATGAAAAGTGAAAGTAGCTTTTAGCCACGTGGTCGGCCAGAGGGACGGGCTGTCCATGACCGGGTGCACCACCACACGCGCGCCCCGGCACATCGCCCACAGCCAGTGGCCGCTGCCCTGCAGTGTCTCTGTTGGCAGCCAGAATTAATCATGCTTTTCATTATTTAATGCATTAACAAGGCAACTGAAATCACTGTGAATAAAAAAGGATTTATGTGTTTTTCGTATGATCACTGTCTTCTACCGAAAAGGTGTTTTCACTTTCTAATGTCTCCTTTGCACTGTTACGGCAATTAGCCCAAAGGGTCCTGGACATTTGTTCTTGCTTTCCCTCTTCTCTCTCCCTAAAACAGAATCCCCTGCCCTCTCACCGTTCCAGTCACTCCCTTTATCCACAACTAATAAGCTGACTGAAGCTACAATAATACATACATGAAATGTATTATTTCACCTGAGATTTCACTGCATTGCATTTGACCTGACAAATGGCCTGACTGCATGGCTTTGTCCTGACACCTTCACTGTATCTAGCTCATGAACTTAAGTTTCATTCTAGTTACAGATGATTATAAAATAACAAGTCCAGTGAAATTTTGCAGGGAAATTGCGAACAACTTTAACTACTTTGCAGCTTTCCATTGACATTTCAGAAACATCCAGCCAACTACAGAGGAGGTCAAGATGTGTGTCCTCAATTTTATGGCATGAAAATATTAAATGAAATTATTTAATGCATTTTACAGTTTTCACAGACCCATGATTTCCAGCTTCACCAACTTCACAGATCAGTTATTAAAGTCTAGTTTTTATAACCCATGGCAGCCTCTCAACAGAAGGCATGATTTGCCTCTTCCATTTACATAAAACCTATCAGATTTTCATCATCTCTCTTCGGAGGGAACAGAGTCTGTAGATCTTTCACAAACCAGGGCTAGTAGAAAAGGAAACAACGATTCATTAAGATAAATTTAAATACTTTTTAGAATGAAATTTTGATGCGGAAAAACCCCCACAGTGGAAGCAATCAGTATTTCTTAGTCTGCAATGCTCAGCTGTCCTACTGGGAGTGTCAATGGCAACTTCAGTACCGCCTAAAAGGCCTGAAAATAGCCATTACATATCATAAAATAATGCTACGGTTGTTTCCTTCTCCATCTTCAAAGTGAAAGCAGCAAACTGAAGAGGGTGAGTCCCACCGGGGCTGCATGGGTGCAGACCTCACGGGGAACAGGAGTTACAGCTCTCCCCATTCCTGGGGCTGACACCAGCACCTACGCCGAGTGCAACACAGACATAAGCAGACCGGGAATGCAACCCAGGGCTGCTGGTCTTCCCATTTTTAAAGATTACTCATTTGTAGAGTCACACATTAGTAATTTTCTTTAAGTTTACTGAAGCAGAAACTAACTCATCACAGCTCCAGTGAGCCAGCTCCTCACAGTTTCTCCTTGTGGAAAGAGTTGATAAACCTGAGCTGCGAGATTGCCTGCGAGCCCCGAAGGCTCTCCATCACACCCGATACCTACTGATAGCTTTATTTGATGATCTGGCAAAACAACAACAAGAAGCTGATACTAGAAAGAGAAATTTAATACCAGTGCTTGTGATTTATGAAATGCTCTAACTATTACAGGTTTCACTTGCCGTTTTTCTAGCTGGAGAGACGATGCGTAATTCAAGCTCGCCCCCCAGTGGACTCCATGCCCACACCAGCACACTAAGTTTTGAGGACACTGGTGAGAAGTATCGGGGAGCTAGACGATAGCATACTTCAAAAAAACTAGGCGTCACTCTAAGAGAATTAAATTCAACTGTTATCGTCTATAATATTTTCTTTCTATTTTTAATTAACTTTAAAAGAAGTATACTTTCCAACCAATAAAATTGTTCAAAATACCACATTGTTTTTCCTCCTGTATCCAAACAACTGCGCGTGTTTTAGTGGCTATGCATATATAGTAAACGAAAAAAAAAAATATAGTTCTCAAACACATCCTGCTTAGGTAAACAACTGTCAGCAAGATCAGCCTGCCTAAAAAAAAGTCCAGATTATGCAATGCTGAGTTTCTGTGATCTTTTCTCAGAAAGTTTCCTACTGAAACTTGCTCACCCTTGCGTGCATAGCTGTCATACTTCATTTATACTTATCCAAAACTGCGCTAATTACTGTGGGTCATACGTGAATAATTAACTTCTTTTGCCTGAAGCAAAAGTAAAGTCCAAGACAAAAAATGTAAGATGAGATTAATACATAGAGTATGCTCGTGGCCAATGCTACATGTAAGTCTGAATATACCAACTTCTTAACCAAGACCTGAGAAGTGTTCTGTAAAACACATTTAATTTTAACAGCACAATACTTATTTTCTCACTGGATCCATTGGCTAAATTCAGCGCTCACCTCCTCTCTAGACTACATTTTACTTCTTACATTGCAGCAGGCATGAAGACATGACAACATAAAGCAGTTAACAACTGACCACTTAAGGAAGGTTTTTGATTTGATGTTATTTTTATTTTATCCCTGAAGGAATAAATCAACATCCAACATGACTGCAAAATACTTCAGGCATCTGCCTTTTGGGGTGGGGATTCATTTCAACCAGCTAACAGGTAGGTATTCAGGCTTCCTCTGTATTCAGCAGTGAAAGAGAAGCACCGTCGCAAGCCAATCCCTGGGTCTACCTGAAGAAGGAATAACGTGCCCCAGAGGTGCCAATCCCTCTTCTGACTACCCAGAGATCCCAGACAGATAGCATAGCCTAGACACTCAGCTGCCAGGAAACCAAGGCTGAGGAGACGGATCTTACGATTACAGCAGGTACAGAAACCCCCTTCATGCTGCTGGAGAGTTAGAGCTGCAAAAGCTGTAATTACCATCACCGTTTCAAGCCTTCAGTGCCTAGTTTTGAGCACCCTAAGTGCACAGCCTGAGATTCAGCGGTGCAGACTCTTTAACACTGATTTGGCTGCGTTACCCACAAGCGCTGGTCTGCCATGAGATTACTAATGAATTACAAACTCATGACAAATGTTATTCTCAGTGATTTAAAAAGCCACGGCAGAGAAAAGCCTTCTGTATTTCTGGGCTAACTTGGGTGTGACATTTCTGAGGTTGTTCACATCTAGTTTTGTAACTCAGCTCCTTACACGGCACTTGCTTATACTCCTGCACTGGTCGCCAGTCTTGCAGGCTAGAAAAGAGTGACCTCCCTGTGGTACAAGCACATAAGTGGCATTTTTCATTCAAACCAAAAATCCTACCCATTTCATACCGCTGCTGGGTTGTCTGCCTTCTAATCTGCTACAGCCATAAAGTGCTCAAAGGGTGAGACAGGCAAGAAGAGGGAAACAACTTAGAAATCAAGGCAGGGAGAAGGAAAGGGACAGAGTAGGGTTAGATTGCGATAAAAGTAATAAAACAAGAATGACAGAGAACAAGGTGAAAGGGTAAGGGTATATAAAATATATCAGAAGGATAGGCACAAAAGACCACATTGGAGACAGGAAGAACAGGGAAGAGGAAAAAAGGATTAAGACAAGACATGATAACCTAAGAGAGAGGAGAAGGCACAAGCATTAATGGGAAGATATGAAGAAACTAGAATAGAGGGAAACGTAATGAACCTCCCAGATCACCGGAATGTTTCCACTGTTTAAGGGAGGGACTCTTACCTTACAGAAATTGGTTTAGTAGGGGGTATTAGGATGGAGCCTTGTTCAGTATTCCTCTCAACAAAAGTCCTACCAACCAAAAGACATATTGGAAAGGGTGATGGAGACGTGGCCTCATTTGAAATATAGAAGCGATCTCTTAATTTTTTAAAATAATCTCTCGTACTCTTTAGAGTACATCACACCACAGAAAGCACCAGCAGATTCTCAGCAAAGAACAACATTGTGCTACATGCTGGATAAACACCATCTTTTCTCCCAGGAGTTACAAGAACACTGAAGTACATTAAGAGCAGAGAGATCAATAAATTTAATTTAAGCAAATCAGCAGTGGAGTATGGAACAGCACTGAAATTCAGAGCATTCTGTCCACTGCCTTTCTAGCCATCCAAGCGATCTCCTTTTAAATTGTTCTTGATGACTTCCAATTGCTGCTCCTGAGTTTATCCACAATAAAATTACAACAATTACACATCAGTGCTTCAGCTACCCTCACATGCCTGTCACGTAGACTAGTAAGAGTCCATAAAGTTAATAAGGACACCAGGTATTGATTAAGTGTTAACTATTATCACCATGAATGGGACCCAGCTCATCTAGGCACCTCTCCTGCATCTCTGCTGTACGGACCTAGTGCAACCTATTCTCAAAAAGTGACTGACTTCTCTCTCCAGTATGTGGTAGGTGCCTCTGAAAGCCTCCAGAAAGAAATACTCTTGAGTTTACACTTGCATTGAACTGAAGGCATTTAGTAGCACCTGTTATTCAAAGGCCACATGTGTAAAAGCAAGTAGTAGCTCAATAGGAGCAGGTCTGTAGAGTGAAAAAAACGGTGCTGAAGATCCACGTCCACACTATATGCTTTTCTTGAGGGACTAGCTCTGGTTGGTCCCAAGCAATGATCATCCATTGTTCGCTGAAGCACGTTAGGTGTGTCCCTGGAGGCCACTTTTCTGTTTCATTTCATCTGAAAGGAGTCCCGTTTGTGCTGAGACCACTCTTGTGCTGCCAAGTGGGGATGACAGGGAAGTTCAATTCAAAAGCATGCTCGATCTGCACCAGAATGCCAATGCTGATGCACCCGCAGACATCTCCATTGGTTAGGTACAGGCCTTCAGCTCTTAGTGTAGGATGACGAGTTCAACACGTCCTACATTAGGCAGAAAGGAACCTGCTTGTCTTAACTGTGGTACACAGTGCCAGAAAAGTCTTACCTGTGTGTGTCCTCCGGTGAGCCTTCAGGTGGGAACTTTTTGTGTATACTTTGTTGCATCCCTCGAAGTCACACCGATGGATGCGCCGCTTCCTGGAGTCTGGAGACTCGGACCTTCTCTGACGTCTTGTGCTCTCAATACTGAATGGTGAAATGGAACTAAAAAACAGAACAGAAGCAAAAAATGAAGCAAGAGCATGGTGTATATACCCTGTGCCCCAAAAGATCAGCTCTAATACATCACTGTGCCACAACTGACCTTAACAATTTATCAAATATTTCCTTCTCTAGAATGTAGTCAACAGCACGTATTTGAAAAAAATTGTGCTTGAACTAGAGTGTATTTTGCAGTATGAAATAATTAAAGTCTTGATTTAGAAGTGCTTATTGCCAGAGAAAACAGAGATCCTTGAAATACTGCTCCGATAATGAAGCAGCCTGACTTTATCTGAGCTTTATTTCTGTTTTACACGTGTCCAGATCCAAGCTCACTGAACTCTGCTTTCTAAACAACTTTATATATAGCCTCCATAATTTCTCTTTGACAAGTTTAAATAGATAAAAATCCTGAAACCTTTTATCAAAAAGTGTTTCCAGTACCCAGATCTGGACTATGGATCCTCGCATTCAGCCAAACACCTGTTGTTTGCTTGCATACAGATTGCCAGGAGATCCATATCACCCTGCAGCAGCGATTTTTCCATTTACTTGTTTAACAATTCTCAATCTATCACCTGCAAGTCAATGAATTTTATTTCCTTTCAGACCACTGATAAAATAAAAAAGTTTCTTAGCACAGGGCCAGCAAACGATCCCCACCGAAATGCCTATGCTCATTGAAAATACTCCATTTGCAGCAACATCCTAAGGCCTATCAAGTTATCCCAACTTTAAGCAAATAGAAAAGTGATGTTGAAGTCACGTTGCTTTATTTTATAAATACAGTATGTACTTGAAGAAAGCCTGCTACAACACTTGCCTTCGTTAGATAAACTTGTGTCATAAACTATTATCAAGCTGGTATGCCAAGATCCAAACCCTCATCGACTTCCATTAATTATATTACCCAGCTATAAATCATTATTAATTGATCACCTTATCAACCCCATTATGGTTATACCGCACAGCAGTGACGTTCACCTACAGTTATACCAGCCTGTTTATCTGCTTTAAGTACTGGAACAACATTGGCCTTCATCAAGTTTCTGGGACTTCCCCCACATTCCTGGGTTTATTGACGTTGAAGGTAAATGATCTAGAGATTTGTCAGCCATCTCTGTTAAACTCTTGAGATGCAAGTTCCCGGTTCTCCTGAAAGAATTTGTGACTGTCAAATGAGAATGGATCAGAGGAAAAGAAACGGAATCTGATCACGAAAAGAAGTAAGCACGAACCTTTGGGGAAGCTAAGATACTGCGAAATGCATTTCAAAAAAGCACTGATGTTGATGCATCTGCTGAGAAGCTCCTGTGTCAACACTAATCTTCAACCTTCTGTTACAATAGCCAGTGCTGTTACAGCTATAGCTGTTCTGCCATAAACTTCACTTTTAGAGATTTCCAGAATTTGCCGAGGACTATTTATATTGGGTTAAAACTTTGCATAAAGCACCTTGCACTGTTAGCATGTGATTTCTCTGATGTTCCAATTCACTGCATTACAGATCTTTCAGCCTTGAATTCCTGGTAGTTCAAATCACACATTTTTCTTTTCGTTTAAATATTTTTACAGTACAACCCTAATTTAAAGCACTATTTAAAAAAAAATGGAGTACTCTCTTTCTGACAGCCCTCTTTTTCTCTTAACACTTGATATATATTCATATTTCACGTTCAGGCAAAGAGATTCTTCCAGATTAATTATTTTTGCCTATAATATATTGTGTGTAAATGGGCATGCATGGAATTTCTGAAATGGAGGAAGAAATGGGCAGAGGGTTGTAATATCAACATTAACTAGCAAAAAGTAGTCCCCAAGAGAGTAAGACACATTGGCACGTTAACTATGTGACAGGAATACAGATATATTCAGCTGTCAAAAAAACAGCTTAGCAATTGCATTTAAGCATCTACATCTCAGGGCAAATAAAAGTCTTGGGTTACATGATTCACTGAGAATGTTCTTAGTACTCCAGGTTTTTTTTTAAACATCCCACCAGCTACAATAAAAAGCAAACATGTAAATCAAATCTTAAAGCTCAGTACTGAAGGTACAAAATCCAGTGCTCAAGACCAGAAAATCTTTATCTTTAAAAGCAAATATTTGTGCATCATTTTTGCTGCATGTGATTTACGAGCCATCTTAAAAGCCTATTTTGTAACAGGGCATTCAGATCCTGGATAGTACAGCTCGTTTAAACGTGAGGAAGATCAAGCTTATAATGCTGCTGCAATTTCCAGCCCTGAGATAAAATGAACCTTGAGCAGAGTCAGCACCTCGTAAAAGGCTATTTGTCACGTACAAGAAAGTGACCTCACTGCTGGGAACTGCTCTGTGCTCTCCCAGGTATTTATACAGGAGATGGTGGCATAGAGCGGTGCCGCAAAGGTGGCACACAATCAGTGCTGCTGCTTCCTAACTGGATTGCTCTCTCTTTCTAAAAGGCGAAGCATCCTACCTATTCCACGCCAGGGAAAATAACCAAATAAGCCACAGGAGGTGCTGTGCATTGCCACCGTCCCCCATGAGCTTCACAGCCATCGCTTGCTCAGCACGCCAAGGAGAAAGGTTACCGTCAGCTGGAACTGGCAAATGTAAGCTCATGCCTTCCCTTCGCAGCACTGCAGGCTAAATGACAAACTAGCCAGCAGAAGGGACTCGCCTGGCAAGTGAGAGCACACTCCAAAGGTGATCCTCCTCTGCCACTCTGACGCCCGTGGTGCGGGGGGACCCCACAGTGCAGACACGCTCACCGGTGGAAAAGGAGCCAGATCCTACCTGATACCACCAGCTTTGTGTTAGCCTTACAAAAGCTGTGTGATCTTTTTAAATGGAGATGCCACAGGAAGCCATAAAAAGAGCACGAGGTGCTTTTTTGAGCTTCCTGAGGTTAGTCCCTCTCACAGTAACCGTCAGTGGATTTGCTGATGTTCTTTCCCTTGGCCATGCAGCAGTGAAGGGACACCCTCCTCTTTCTCAAGCAATTTCTACAAAATACCCTCACCAACCACACAGAGAGACATAAAAGAAGTCCTCAAACCCATGTTTTGTGACGAGGAGCTGTCAGTTCTTCTGTTAACGGCCAAGATCTCAGGCAGCCTTTAAGGCTCAAGGTGGGGTTTAGCAACAGGACTGATACTACAGGTATCACCCCAGGCAAACTGCAGGATACATCAAATTACTGCTGAAACATCAAGTTTGAAAGATAAATTAACAAAGAAGAAAACTGGGTTCTGACCTGTCAGTTTGATGTTTATTTATTTGCGGTTCGTTATTTCTAAAAACAGTGCAATTTCTGTATTAGTGTAGAAACTACTACACTAACAGAAATCCTGGGACACTGCTGGTTGCCTCTATAAGCAGCTGCAACACCTGTAGTCAGTACTGCTCATAGGGTGAAATGAATAAAATCAGTGTGAGCATTTAGGGCGATTTACCCTTCAGCTGTGTTATTTCCAGCTGGAAGTAAAAGCATGCATCTCTGCAACTCACACATGGCCAACTGCTTGTCTCTCTGATGCAAAAAAAGCCTGCCAAGTAAAACAAAGACTGGGGCTTCGCCAGTAGATGGCCATCAAGTTCTGCTGAACGTGATCTTCGCTGCACGCGACACGGATTGTAACAACCCTGGTAACGAAGGATTATTCTTCCTTTCTACGAATGCTGCCCATGACGTTCTAGGTGTTTTGCCTCCATTCTACATACAGACTGGGAAAGGCCCTTGGCATATGCAGTAACACTGTTAAAAACACACGTAGCGGGTCTTTTTATACTGATCCGGTGTTCTCTGAGCGATATGAAGAGCAGAGCTGCCTGGGGAGCATGGTATGTTTAGTAAAGCCTTGAACTGTGTTCAGTGCCGTGACACACCAACAACGTGCCATGCGGTGGTAAGTCGCTGCACACTGGCTGCTCCCCCCAAAAAGCCTGTCACGTGCTCTCACCCTGTGGCCACCAAAGTACGAGATTCCTGGCGCTGCCGGCGTCCCAGCAAGCCGGGTGAGAGCTAGCTGACACAGCCAGCATGGAGCCGGTGATGGGCAGTGAGCCGCCGCTTTGCTCTTTGCCATACAAACCCCAACAGCGTCCCAGTGTGGTGGTTTTGTTCTTGTGATTGCCACCTTTACGCCTCCTCAGCCCCTCCGCTATAAGCTCAGGCTTTTTGGCTGTCTCCTGCCTGCCTCGCAAAAGACCTCATGGAAGACACAGCGACTCAGGGCCAACAGGTATAGACCAGCTTGTGTCCAAAGTCCCCCCCACCTTACCATACGTCTCTCCTTTACAGCATTCAGACTGTATTACCTTCCTCCCTAGCTGGCCTTGTAGTTAAAACTAGAGACTTATGCCTGCACCTTAACAACAGTCCATGGCTGCTAAAAACACATGCTAACTTCACTTTGGGGTGAGACCCAGGCACCTATCAGCTGTGTCCCCTCCACTCTGGCTACCACGAGAAGGAGAACCAGGCTGGGCTCAGCCCCACGCAGCAGCCGCTCAGCCCGGGTGAGGGCTTGCCAGGCCACAGCGTGCCCCACAAGGCGGGCATAACGCAAGCCATGGTCCTCTCGCGTTTCTCAGGCTCTGGGCTGTCAAAGGATGTGGCTTGGCTAAGCTGGAATACCAGGACAGTCTTGCTCCAGTTGCTTTCCCTTGTGTCAGCCCTGGCACTTGTCTGATCCTGCAGTGAGGCAGTTCAGGGACCCACAATGACAAAAAGTCAATTCTGCAAAAGAACCACTTGAGCAGCTTGCTTGCTCGTGCTGGTTTAGCTCCTTAAATAGTGGAGTCTGCCAAGTACCTGCACCGATACATGGGAGAGGATGGGAACCTGTGGCCAAGGGTTAGGGGACTGTCATCGCACCTTTCAGTGGCAACTAGCTGTGATTACCACCAACGCCACATCTTCCACGGAAATTCAGAATTTGTATGAAGAAATCGAGAACATGGACATAAGCAATCAACACAAGGAACAACTGGAAAAGTCCACCTGTTGCTCCACA